GGACTACTTAATTTACTTTTGTTTGGATTTTCAGATGATATAGGATTGAAATTGAAAAATGAAAGTTTAGCTTTTGATATATTTGATAGTTTGATAATTTAGAATTTACTTGAAAGCTTAATAAAACATCCCATGTCATAGTGACTAACTGTACTTATCCAAGTGCTAAAATGTCAGCCTGCCTTATTCCAAGAAGACACAGACAAAGCAATTGATCTCTTACTTCAAAATTTAGTTTATCTCTAGGTTAAATATGGATAACAATATTTATCTCATATTAGTCATGAAATTTAAATGGCATAAATAATATAAACCTGTAAAACAACCTCTATAGCAAAACACATGCTCAATATGTAAACAAGAAGTCTGAAATTGAACCTGAGTGGATCTCCTAATTCTCTGCATATCCTTGCTTTGTTGAGAGGATGCTATTAGCAGGAGCAATCTCCTAAAATTTGAAGGTATATTTTCCATTTAGTACAATTTAAGGCAGATCTTCTCAAACATTATTAGGCATGACCTGATGATGTTTTTCAAATGTAGATTCTGATTTTGTAGTTCTGAGATGGAGACTGGGATTCTGCATTTCTAATACAACTCAAGATGCTCCTAATTTTGCAGGTCTATGGGCATTTTAAGGCACATTGGGGATGACTCACTATTATATAGGGTGTAATCCAAAACTGTAAATAAACTTTAGCAGCTAATAGCTTACTTTATTTTCACTCTTTTTCAGGTTTAACTGATTTGAAATAATGGGTGAAGCCAATGAATCTTTGAACAAATAAAATTTATCCTAAGTACCACTACACTTTTTTGTTAAACCCCAGCCTCCGGGGAACATGCAGAATAAAAATACTATGTGCAGAAACACACACACACACACACACACACACACACACACACACACACAAATCCAAACACTTGGAAGCTGAATAACATGCTATTAAACAATGATGGGTTTACCAAAGAGATCAAAGAAGAACTTAAAAACATCATGGAAATGAATGGCAATGAAAACAAAACAATCCAAAATCTATGGGACACAATGAAAACAGTCTGAGAGGCAATTTTATAGCTCTACAGGCCTACCTCAAAAAAAGAAAAAGAAAAATGGTAGTCAATCATCTAACTCTACAACTTAAAAAGTTAGAAAGAGAGCAACAAGAAAAGCTCAAAGTGAACGGAAGGAAGGAGCTAATAAATATCATAGCAGAAATAAATGACATAGAGACAAAACACACACACACACACACACACACAAAAGATCAATGAAACAAAGATCTGGTTCTTTAAAAAGATAAACAAGATTGATGACCCTCTAGCCAGGCTCACCAAGAAGCAAAGAGAGAGGACCCAAATAAACAAAATCAGAAATGAAAGAGGCGAAATAACAGACCCCACAGAAATACAAAGAATTGTTAAAAAATACTATGAGCAACTCTATTCCAACAAACTAGACAACATGGAGGAAATGGACATATTCCTAGAAAAATACAACCTTCCAAAACTCAATCAGGAATAATCTAAAAATGTCAATAGGCTGAAAACTATGGAAGAAATTAAAGCAGTCATCAAAAAGCTTCCAACAAAGAAAAGCCTGGGGCCAGGTGGCTTCACAGGGGAGTTTTACTAAACATTCAAGGAAGAACTAAAATCTGTCCTCTTCAGACTATTCCAAAAAGTTCAAGAGGAAGGAATACTTACAAGCCAGTTTCTTTGGATGGCTTCAGAAAGAGGAAAACAAAAGAAAGCATAGAAAAACATAGATACAAAGTTAGAAATTCATTCAATTAAACTGTATACATTTATGTGTCTTCCAATTTTACCCAGGAAAACACAAGAGGACAGATACGGTATTAACTCCTATTGCAATTATTAAAAAAGTGTATAAAAAATGTGATAGTTTTAAACTACACTTATTTATCGTCTCACATCACTGTGGGGGGTTGGAAGTTTGAAGAAGCTTGACTGGACTCTCTGTTCAGGGTCTCACCAGACTAAAATCAACGTGTCAGGCAGAGATGCAGTTTTCATCCAGGTTTGTAAGTCCACCTCCAAACTCACTTACTGTTGACACAATTCAACAATGATTTGCAAGTGATCCTTTTTACCTTATAATGAGCAACAGGTGGAGTCCTTCTCATGCTTTTATTCTCTCAGTTGCCTTCTGCTGCTGGCCAGGGAAAGATCTCTACCTTTAAGGGCATGATGTGATTATATTAGGACCATTGGGTAATACACAGTCCCCCTGTTTTGTGATTAATAGATTGTTAATTTAAATTATATCTCATTTATTTAACCGTATAGCAAACATATCCATGTGATTCATAAGACTAATACAGGTGGGCAAAGGTTATGGGACCATCACAGTTTCTGTATGTTTTGCTGGGGAGGGGAGGAAGCATGAACATGCTACAATGAAAGGACTGAAATGTATTGTAATCTTAGTTTTATTACATGCAAGTCCATTTATGTGAGATAAATAAGCATCCAAACAACATTTTCTTCACATTTTTTTAATTGCTTAAAAACGAAAATGTGGATGATTTTTAAAATGTTTTTTATTGATTTGAGAGAGAGAGAGAGAGGGAGGCAAAGGGAGAGAGATAGAATCATCCATGAGAGAGAAACATCAATTGCCAGCCTTCTGAATGTGTCCCCACCCCCTTGGGGGGATCCAGCCTGTAACCCTGACATATGCTCTGACCAGGAACAGAACCACAGACTTCTTGGTGCATGGGTGGACTCTCAACCACTGAAACACACTGAACGGGCTGGATTGATTTACTAATGCTAAACAAAATTAATATAAAATCTTGATATTATTTCATATTCCTTTTAATGTGTATCACAGAATTTTGCAAACATCACTCACTAAATAAATTATTAAATTGCTATTTCCGAAGGCCATAAGGAGATGATATTTTCATGGACATTTGTCTTATAATAAAAAATTTATGTGAGATCTGTTCTTTCTTGTAACTGCCTTTTGCAAATTATAATAAAATTTCCCGAGGCATTAAATATTTTAATCTTTTGTGACAAGTAGTCTTTGCAAAACATTTTGATGAACCAGACTCTTGAAAAGACAACTCAGTAATCAAAACATTCAGTTGGAAGACAAGTGTTAACATACTTATACAATCCTCTCACATGTTATTCAGTTTACTGAGGTCATCTCACTGTGGTACAGCAGCTGAGACCAGAAAAAGAACAAGAAAGTTGAGGCAAAAGACAAGTACTTTCTAAAGCAACAAAAAGCGATTTAGCACAAGTTTTGATTATGGGAACATAAACTAGGTTTCTAAAGACAATTATGCTGAACCCAGAAACGGAACATGTTTTCTTTAAACTCAATACTAACCTTCCTGTAATTCCATGCATATTTTTCAGTTATAATCACAATAGAGACATATATTTTCTTCTCCCCGCCAAATGTTATATGGAAAACACTTTTCCATTTTTCTACATGATCCAAATTCTGACAGTTGCCTGAGTAAGAGTTTATCTATTTAATTAATTATAAATTCCTTAATCATTCCCCTATCACTGAACACTTAGATGAAAGTGCATTCAATAATATAAATAATGCTGAATTGTTTCCACAATCATTTCTTTTTTAAAACAACAATTAATTTTCAGAAGTTAGATTATTTTGAAAAGGGATTGAATACTAGAAAGAAATTAGACAAATATTTTGAGAAAATCCTGCAGGTTTTTTTTTAGAGGATTTATTGGATACATATTTTTGGTTGGCATATATGGATTGTTATGGCTGAAAAGATAAGGCCACCCACAGCAAAGATTTGTTTTCACACTCCATCTGTTTGGTATGTACTGTGCAGATTAGAAAAAAAGTTCTGATCCCAGTGAGACAGAATGTTTGGTAATACTTCTATCATATTTTTCAATTTCTCCATGAGTCACTCTCTCCAGATGCCTAAGAAGATTGCGAGCTTTGCAAAAACCTTCCAGAAATGGAATCTACTTCACTAAAATGAATGAGAATTGATAAACACAATTCATTCATTAGAAAAAAAGCTCCATAAATATCAGTGTTTGGTATTTAGCAAGATTAGAGAGGCCTAAGCATGAGGCTAGGCTTACCATCTAAAGTTTTGGAACAAAAGGAACATCTTAAACGGCAATGTTTGCTTTTCTGTGTGAAAGACTGTTTCAGATACTGTTGTGTGAAGCCTCTGTCTGCATAAAAATCTTTGTATTCATGGTGAAAAGTGGAACTGACTTAATGATAGACTCTATCTTCAATTCCATTTTATGTGTTGATTTAATTTTTAATCTTAGCTTTATTCAAAATTTAACAACAAACAGTAATAAATTTGAGAGGTACAATTTTGCATTTTTAATCAACTTAACTATGACCCAAAATGACATCTTCATCAGTGCACTGATGTTTTTTATTATGCTTTCCTTTCCAAAATTAATAACACTATTTTTTCTATCACTGCCTTAGGAATTAAACATGTGTCATCTAGGAATATATATTATATTGTTATTTTCAGTATTATTAATACCATTGTCTCATAATTTATTTTCAAAAGCTCTTAATGAAAAGTAGAATATATAAAAAAATAAGCCAAATTATGTTAGTAATTAAGGGTCTACTTCATATTTTTGAGACTCCAAAAATAATTTTAATAGATGCTCATTCACTAAGCTCCCTTTAAAACTTGACATTTATAAATGTTTTTGAATTATTTTTCTACATGATTATAAATGTCTTAGTGACAGAGTTTGTGAATTTAATGTCACTGTAAGAAATGCTGTACCTAACAAAGTGTCTTATATACAGTAAGTGCTCAATAAATATAGTTTATATAGTTATGAAATTAATTAACTTTTAAGAGCAGAATTTTTATGTAGCAGTTGTCAACTTTGTCAATTTTATACTTCTTTGGTTTTCAGATCACTTTCTCTTTTATTGACAAATCCTAAAAAGACCAACAACTTCTGATTGCTTGTCAATAATTTGGTCAGTGCTCACTTAAGTATAGCACATACACTAAAATTGAAATGAAACAGAGAGGAGTAACATGGCCCCTGCACAAGGATGACAGGCAAATTTGTGAACTGTTCTATATTAAAATAATAATTATAATAATAATTTGGTCAGACTTAGAGAAAAAAGTCGATGAATTTTTCTTTCACTCTATCACATTTTTTTATCATTTCATTTTTTTCTTTACTGAGTAAGGTATTACATGTGTTCTTATCCCTCCATTGCCTCCCTACATCCGCCCCCCCCCCTGACACACACACACACACACACACACACACACACACACACACACATTCATGTGCTCATCCCCAGGTGTCTGTGTCCATTGGTTAGGCTTATATGCAGGCACACAAGTCCTTTGGTTGATCTCCATCCCTTATCCCCACCTTTCCCTACTTTCCTTCTGAAGTTTGATGGTCTGACTGATGTTTCTCTGTCTCTGCATATGTTTTTGTTCATCAGTTTATGTTGTTCATTTTATTCCAAAAATTAGTGAAATCATGTGATATTTATCTTTCTCTGACTGGCTTATTTCACTCAGCATAATACTCTCCAGTCCCATAACCTATCACATTTTAAATAACCCATTTTATTCAATAAGCAAATAAGAATATCATGTTTTTGGTAAAATAGTTCAGCCAGAAAACATTGGCTTCAGGTAGTATAGAAATTTACTTCGTTCTTGAAATAATATGATATCAGAATTAACTATTTTTTATTATTACACATTAATACTTTCATCCTTCTATAACATTTTCAATCAAATTGGCTTTAAATTAGTTTCTGCTTTTGTAGAATATTGGGAACTGGCGTGATTTGTAAGAGCCTAGTGACTTATCTTTATCCTGTCTTTTCTAATGTGGATCAGTTTTCAAGGTCTCATCTCATAGAAATATGAAATGAAATCTTAAGTGCTATAAAATTTACACATATTCCTTAATTCACCTAATTCTGCACTGAGTTTTATCTTAATTCCTAAATATTAATATATTAATATTTCAATGCACTATCCTGTTTCTTCACTTACCTGAACACATCTTTATTTCTTCAGTTATTACACTTCATCTTGATTCAAGTCCTGGACATCTTGTAAGACCAAGGCCCTGGCTGTTCTACTTCCTGTGACAAATAATCTACCATTCTTTCAAACTTTCCATTTATAGCAAAATTTCTGAATGTGCTACTATTACTAGTTAACCTTAAATCTAATTTTCACTTCTGATAATAGAAAATCTTTAATGCAGAATGCTTGCCATTTCAGATTCATATTATATGAAATAAAGTTATAGTTTTCCCTCAAAGTTAATTTAAAAAAACAAAACCATGTTGGTGAATGCTCTAGCTTTCACAGTATTACAAATCAAAAACTGAAATTCATAGTTAACACATCCTTCTCTTGAAATCTCCAAGGAATAAAATGCATTACTTCTTTTCCCATCTGACTTTCATTACTCTCATGTAGATGCCAATGAAAGTAGGACTGAATTGCTAGAAAACCTTATAACTAATCCTTTTAGACTCTTCCCTTTCTTTCCTTTAAATGAATTCAGTTCTCTGAAGCCTGGTAAATAACCTGGGTGTGTTTTTCAAAATATGTTTTAAAATATGAGAAAGCAGTCAAGAAAGTTTAAGGCTAATATTTCAAAAGGATTATAACCAGGCTTAATTTTCTCATTTTAGGTCAAACATTTTTTGCAGGTTTCTAATTCACAAATATTCACTAGCCTACATCCAACATCAATACACACACACACACACACACACACACACACACACACCACTAAGTAAATGTATCCAAGGATTACTTATGTAAAAGGTTTTTAGGTGTTTTCTATTACTTATCCATTTCTTTGTTTGTTTGTTTGTTTGTTTGTTTATTGTCTAAAGTTTAACATATGTCTTATTTTTTCCCAATTGACCTCCCCCCCAGCCATTCCTACCCTGAGCAAGCTCTCACTGCCCCAGTGTCTGTGTCCATTGGTAATGCTAATATGCATGCATACAAATCTTTTGGTTGCTCTCTTACCCCCACCTGCCCTGCCATTTGTCTCTGGATCTGTTCTTGTTCATCGAATTATGTTGATCATTATATCCCACATATGAGTGAGATCGTGTGATATTTATCTTTCTCCGACTGGCTTATTTTACTTAGCATAATGCTCTCCAGTTCCATCCATGATGTTGCAAATGGTAAAAGTTCCTTCTTTTTTATAGCAGCATAGCATTCCTGTATAGATGTACCACAGTTTTTTAATGCACTCATCTGGTGATAAGCACTTAGGCTGTTTCTAAATCTTAGCTATGGTGAATTGTACTGCTATAAACATAGGGTTGTATATATCCTTTCTGATTGGTATTTCTGGTTTCTTGGGATATATTCCTAGAAGTGGGATCACTGAGTCAAATGGGAGCTCCATTTTTAACTTTTTTTTTTAGGAAATCTATACTATTCTTCACAGTGGCTGCACCAGTCTGCATTCCCACTAGTAGTGCACTAGGGTTCCTTTTTCTCCACATCCTTGCCAGTACTTGACATTTGTTGATTTGTTGATGATAGCCATTCTGATAGGTGTGAGATGGTATCTCACTGTGTGGTGTTTTCCTAATAGACAAATTTTTGCAAACTACAGAGTTACATTCCTGAAATGTAGTAAATGCTACATGATATAGATTGAACAATAATGTATGAATGTAATTTATATTTTTAGATTAGATGAACATACAATTAGAAATCTAACACTATAATTAATAAAAATATTTGAAGTTTACATCAGACTTTATGAGTATGCTTAAGAAATTTAGTTTTTATTTCTTGAAATAACAGGCTAAAACTCTTCTATACCTAGGGAGATTTTTCTCTGGGGAAGAATACTGTGTTATGCAACACATTGAAACACCTGTTTTCTATTTTATGTTCCAATATGAAATGGAAATCTGAATTATGACATCATAAAAATATAATCTTGAGGAGTGTCATGAATAGATTTGATCACTTTAAATTCTAGGATATAATCACAGATATCTACACTATTTTGTTACTGATAAATGTTTTATAGAGACTTCCTAAAAGTTATTGATGCTATTAAATTAATTCCTATTTTATAATTATCCCAATGAAATTTTATTCAAAAAATATTTTTGCCTCCTCTTTGACAAGTTACATGCTATAGTGAGCACATTGAGAGAAAGGTGCATATCCTGCCTCAGGATGCTCTCAGTCTAAAAGGGTAAAATCAATATACAGTGGTGCCTCACACAATGAACTTAATTCGTTCCAGGAGCAAGTTTGTTATGCGAAAAGTTCGTTATGTGAAACGCGTTTTCCCATAACAATACATGTTAAAAAAAATAATTCGTTCTGTAGCATAAAATATGCTAAGATGACATAAAAAAAGATAAATTTTTTGTTATCATTTTTATTTAGATACATCTAAAAACATATTTAAAAAAAAAAAAACACATTTTTAAAATTTTAAGACAGACTAAGTAGAGTCTACCGAATCTTGCACATCTTCATCCATTTTCTGCTTTTTGGCTGATGGTTTCATGAAAAACCTGTCCAAAGTCGTTTGTTTTTCTCTTTTCTCCAACATCTGCCGGAAATAACGGACAAGAGTATCGGAGTAAAGATTGTTGATCCTGTTTGCTTCAGCTGAATCCGGATAGTGGGCATTGGTAAACTCCTGAACTGCTTTCCATTTGACCAGGATGTTCTTGATGTCAGCAGTTGGGATTGGTTGATTGTTTGATTGTTGGATTCCACACCTTTTCTTAAATCTAAAAAACCACCCCCTGCTGGCTTTGAATTCTTCTTCATTATCTCGATTGCTGCTACTTCCAGGGACGTTTTTCTTTAGATTGTCATAAATTCTCTTGGCTTTGTGACAGATAATATCTTGGGTTGTTACGTCACCTTTCACCTGCCTGTCCTTAATCCAAATCGCTAATAGCCTCTCCATTTCCTCATGGATTGAAGACCTATGTTTTTCATAAAATAGTTTTGATACTCCTTTGGCTACTTTGGCTGATTTGATTGCATCCTTATTTGTCAAAATGGTGAAAATGGTGGTCTTGCTGAGGCCAAACTCTTTGACGAGGTCACACTGTTTTACCCCACATTCACTCCTTCTAATTATTTCCTGTTTCATTTCAACAGAAATCACCTTCCTGCTTTTTTTAGAAGCCATGATATAAAAAAAATATTGAGTTTAACTTAAAAGGACGACTGTCGTGATACGTGCGTGATTTAATTTGTAATGAAGAACGATTGCCGAGATAAGTGCTTAAGTTAAGCGCAGTGACTAACGACTGCCTGCAGTGCCTGAGCGGAAGGATGCAATACATCGGCAGCGATCATGGAAGCTCGGGCGACTTCGTTGTGTGAAACAAAGTTCGTTGTATGAATCATGAAATGAAGTTCGTTGTGTGCAGCGTTCGCTGTGGGAGGCGTTCTTTATGCGAGGCACCACTGTAAACATATATAATAGCATGTAAGAGTTAGAGTCTAGATGCCATGTAGAACAGTGGGTTGATCAACTCTGTTAGTCTTAATTGAAAATGCGTCAGAAGAAATGACATGCTTACACTAGATTTTGAGGAATTAGCAGTGATTGAGGTGAAAAAAAGAAGGCATTATTTCAGGGAACACTAAGGGGATCCCAAAATCAAATCTGCCTGTAATTATCAAGGAGAGATTGGGGATATTTTAAATTTGTTATGTTTAGGGCAAAGATTATATGTAGATGTTTAGCTGGGGAAGACATTGAATAAATAAACCAAGGAGAAGCAATGAGCTTGGACTTTTATGCTATTATGTGACTTTGAAGCCAGTGATTTTTACTATGAGAACTGCAGTATAAAATTGGTAATTTAGATTGTATTCTAACAAATTAGAGAAAACATTGTGAAAGCATGTTTGAATGGGAGGTTAGAAGACTATATATGTAAACATAAACATTTCTAAGCATGTAGGGAAGAGAAAGAAGCAACGCAGATAATGTCTAAAGGGGTAAAAAGGAAGAGAATACAAAGAGGACACAAATGAACTGAGAACCAAGACCCATTGTGTCAACATAACTTACCCATT